ACGGTGATCTGCATTAAGACTATCGTCGGGGAAGAGGCACTCTGTATCGATTTCGCTAAGCAAGTCATGATATTGCGAGTTGTGTCGCAGATAATCGGAATCATGATTTGTCTCTGAATGTATTCGCAGCTCGATCTGCTCCTCTTCTGCCCAGGCGCGATACAAACTGTTACTGCATATTGGATCGTCCTTTGTGGTCGTCACATCTGTAGTTGCAATGCTCATGGGTCGAGAAGGCAGCAAAAAGCTGTGATCACCAAGGCCTTGGCTTTGATCGATGGCGCTGGTATCCGTAGAACTGTTAGTGTCGAGCCTTGTGGGAACACGGCGTTGGCGTTGCGGCTGCAGTGGTGGCTTTGGGCGCTGTAGGGAATGCATGGTTTCGAAAATGGGTGCATACACATGCGAGGGTTGTGCGTGTATGCGGCTCTTGTTGATTTGACTCGTTTGATTCGGGTAGTGGTGCAGAGGCCTAGGATGAAGAGGTTGAGATAAACTTGCAGAACCCGAGGAGAGAGTCTCGTTGTCCAAGAAGCTCATAATATCATCAGGACGGCCTGGGCCCTGGCTATTAACGCTGCCGCTATCTCTGGCATTCATGCTATTGCTGTCGATAGCCACCACTGCTTCAGCTCTATTTGGCCATTGATCCTCGTTCCATCCCAGGGTCGAATCCAACGCTGCAATTCCATCACCCTGGCTCATGACGAAGTCGAGTTGAGAATTCGGCTTATGCTAGAGCTGCGAAGCAGGGTTGTCGAGATTTGGCGACAGGGAGTGGTGATGAGGCCGAATAGCTACCTAGTGACTGCTGATCATGAGGCAATCGGAAAGGAACGGCGATGCAAGGTCCACTGCTGTCAAGTTAGCCCCCCGCAGGCACCGTTCCTAGACTATTTGTCCCTTGCCTTGGGTATGTGATTGACACTCGGCTGGCAGTGTCTTACCGGTAGACGAGACGGCTGCCGATCGAGGTCGAAGGTTTTCAAGGAGGAGAGTTGCAGTAAACAAAGGGTCGATTCGGGAAGAGTCGATACGAAGGGCAGATCGGAAATGGTGGAAGATGCTATTATTGCTTGTGCCTCGTCGATATGCTTCAACGGTTAAAGCATACTATCATAAGCGAATGCAATTCCCGAGGACTCGTCGTAAAAGTGCCGTAAGTAAAGATAAAAAAAGGACAAGCACGGCTTCAATTTTGGTTAAGCGGGTACAAGAGCCAAGTCTCAACTAAAAAGTAAGGTGCAGCACGGTAGTGAGTGGCAGGCACGGAATTTGCCAATTGCTCGAAGGGCCAGCTCGAATTAGCTCTCAGCAACGGTGAGAGAACGTTAGGGGTGGGAGTGTGTCCGAGGCAAAAGAGAAATCGACGATGTGACTTTGGCGTCAAAGGTTTGTAAGTTGGCGTCAAAATGCGTTGAAGTGCACATATCATACAATTGGAGATGTGAGAAAGAGAGGAAAAGAAGAAGGAAAAGAAGTTCAGTCAATTACGGATACCTAGTCCATACATAACACAAAGTTCTAAGTAATAATACTCCGAAGACTTGACCAAACCTCAGTCCAAATGTCGCGCCGTTCCGTGCCGTGCGTCGTGGTGTCGTGTGCTGCTGTGTCGTGTCTTAATGGGCGTCAGCTCCGGCATCGAGGGCCAGATTCGTATGGAACGAGTCCCTAGCGAGCAGGCATGGATGGGTACGACCACTTTCTGTTCAGAAATCACGGCGGTGCTTCAGAATATGTCGATGCCCGTCCCATCACCGTCAACCTCGATCCCTGTAGCTTGGCTTAACGCTGTGCTGTGCTAGAGTTAGGAACTGGACCCAGCTCCCTGGCAACACCACAACAGTTGACGAGGTGGGTTCATGAACGGTGAACCCACCTCCCAAAAGCCAACGCAAAAGCCAATCTGCTTAGCCTTTGGGCCTAGCAGCGCAGCGGAGTCCCAAGTTTCCGGGCACAGAGGTCGATAAGCCAACCTCCATTGGGCCAAGTGCAGCTACAATCTGCACGGTACCTGACTTGGTGTGTTTATGCTGACATTCATCCAGGCGCCGTGACCGGACTGTCTCGAATAGTCTAGTAGTTCTAGCATTGGGTATCACCAAGGCTTTTAATAAGTCGAGATAATTCGTACTGGAGTGGGACTTTAGTCCGGGGGTTGCAATCGAGTGATTGAGGGTGAAGCCGCCATTCTACCCCTGAGTTGGTTTAGTTCATTTCTGGGGCACTGAAGTTTATGACTTGAAGACCGCAATTCATCGGACTTGTTCCATCGCCTCCACAGTTGCAGGAAGCAAGACGAAATGTCGACGGGAGGGCCACACCTGAAGCGACCTAAAAAAGCAAACATCTGCAGATCCACGTTTCTTGGTTCCATTATGATACAGACGTGTTCAGCTAAGTTTCCGACACGCACCGCACATCATATCATGTCTTGTTATTATATCGACGGCGAATAATGACCATCATAGTCAGCATAATCAACTAACTAACTAGTAACTGGTGTACAGCTCACTGGTGTGCCTTGGTGTGCCAGGGTAACCTTACCACCTCAACTCTACTTATGATAAGAGTTCATGAAACCGAGTGGCTGTTTATTATTAGGTGTCCCCGCGTAGCAATCTGGGTAGACATCGGCTGCTTGGTACCGATCAATATAAACTGTCGGTCTATCCACCTTATTTCCAGCTTTCAAATTCGTCACCCCCACAAGGGACCAACTTAATGATTGCAATCACCTGCCTGCTTGAGGCATTGATAGTGCCCATCACTTCCAGACATTTCTTAGCTTGTACAAGTGACAGATTCCCATGCAACGCTATCATACTACGGCGTGTCAGGGCTGATATCTGACAAGCAGGGTACTTCGCTGTTCAATATGTTTAAACGACGCCTAATACCACCATCCGTCACAAGCCAACCTAGCCAACTCACTTCACAGTAAGACCCTTGAAGCGCTCCGCCAGATTGACTTTAATCCCACCAACCAGCCATATCGCTTTGGGAATCTGACCCGAGTTTGCAGCATTTATTCTTGAAGATCTCTCGGAGAGCCCGCCGAGTAGCGTAGGTCGACAATATGACGGCCTGTCTTTGTATGATATCTTGCTCAACCAGCTCAGCTCAGAAACAAGCCCCTGGGACATACATCTGCTGTGCCGCATTCAACCCTGACTTTGGTTCAAACCAGCTCTCACGACGCTGGCTTTTGGCTGTCCGCTATCCCTGGTAGCCCTCGGAAGCTCCGTAGAAGCGGTCATGTTGGCTCTGCTAAAGGGGCTCGGCAGTTACGGATCTGGATCCTACGAATCCTAGCCTTTTGCTACCAATGATGCCAGTGACACGAGTACACGTTGTCACGCATACTTTTGGGGTTGACTTTAACCTAAGTTGCTCAGAGTGTGTTTAAGGAGATACTATTGTAGTATGCAGTTTCAACCCATGGCCGGTGCAACAGACACAGGGTCCGTTATACGAAGTACAGCTGTTTGAGAGTTCAAGCACTACCGCATTGGTAGTCTCCTTGTCCCTTATGTATCGAATACTTCTTTAAGTTTCGGGGATTTTCCATCTTGATCTCGAGTTTTGTACCTGATCCGGGAGGCATGGATCTTGTAGAGGTCCTGGACCCGTCGGTAGTCACCACTTAAGATGTCATATCGGAGTCAATGCACTATCGGCGTCCGTGTTGGTCCGTAGAGTATGTTTCCTCCACAGTTGAGACTCTTTCAAGACCTCGGGAGGACTCTACCCGGTTTGTTCGGGTTGTGGGATTCACCCTACAAGAAAGATAACAAGCTCAAAGGTTCGATCACGGATCAAACACCGCATATGTACTAGAAACATGATGCGGTGTAGGGAATTATGGAGTATGTTTCTATCGTCGAGGGAAACACGTAGTGTAGTCTAGTTGTGCTACATTGACCTGAAACTGTTTGGCGGATTGTGGATCGCGGCGTGCGAAGCACAGACGATGCGATGCAAGCTTCAGGCTTCGCTTCTCAGCGCCACAACATGCGGTCTGATTCTGTCGTGCATATGAGATCCATCATACACGTTCCCTGGGAGGTCTCTTGTGGAATAATGGCTCCATCTTCTGGTGGGAGGACCAACTATGGCCGTTCACGAGATGCACCAGGGGCTGACGAAATCGTAGAGTCGAACAGGGTGTTCCCGGTGTGTCAGATAGAAACCAAGGTCCAGCTTATAAACTAGATGGCGTGTTGAGGAGGCAAAGGGGACTCTCTAAAGGGATCGGGAGAGGCGGTGGAGGCTGCTTTCCATGCTTTTCCTCGATGAGGTCGTAGTCAGCATTGGCCAATCGATCTTGTGTATTTTTAAGTTTATTCGTATGCCTGAGCTCACAGACCGGTATGGTAGCACAAGAATCCTGGATCTTGCATCTAGAAAAGGGCGCTGCTCGAGCTGCATTCGAGCGCCGTTGTGGCTGAAGTCAGCGTCTGTCAAAAAGAAGCTGATTCCTAGTCATGTTCTCAGGAGGTCTATCTGGCCATAAGATCATTGGTGAAGGAGTTGATGGGACCAATCTAAAGTATATCATTCACTCATGCAATGACAATCTTATTGGCAATATACCTTTTAAACGTGAGAAAATCCTAAACCTACTATGTCGTCGAAACACGTGCTTGATAACTCGTCGTGCTGAGACGCGTCTTATCGTTCATTGGTTGAAACACGGTTATTCGCATCCACCCCTCAACTACTTCGAGCCAATGATAGAGCTTACAGGACGACACATTTGGCTTCAGCCTCGAGACAACCTCAGCCTTTCTTACCTCAGTCAACATTTAACTTCATTTTCAGCCTTTTTACTTAAGCTTTGGGCGACTCCGCGGACCAGGTAAGAACTATAACTCAATCATTATATACATTGAGTCATCTTCTTATTCTGATGTAAAATCTTCACTTCCAACTATTGTTTTTTCCCAAATATTCTTTCTTGATACCCCGTACTACCACCGATGACATCGGAAAAGATGCCGCTCATCCTGGATAACCCGATGCCAGTGGAACTTAACGATGTAGATGACCTTTTTGGCGATGGCGTTGGTCTGTCTTTGCCCGCGAGGGCGCAGAGTAAACAGCTTCAACAAAGAATGGACGATATCCGGATTCGAGGATGTTGCCAGTAAGAAGTCCCAGCTTGCAGACACTTATGCACGCTTTCACTGACCCTGGGTAGAACTGTGGCGTGGTCAAGGACAGGCTCAATCGCCAACATCACACCTGATGGTCAGAACCTTGAACTTCGCTTTCTGCGACGTTCCCCAGGTGATGGCTCCTGGGATCTCAGTGAGCCCACCACGTGCCCCTTTGTCAAAGGGCTCCCAACCATTCCCATCGTTCACTTGGTATGGGCTGGTACTAGCAGCCCAGATCTAGCAGTAATAGATGCCGTTGGTCGCGTCTCTATCGTCAGCTTCTCGATCTCACTAAATCACCCGTTCCCTCAACGGAAATGGGACGCTGACCCCACTGACGATGTGCACACTGTCGTCGGTACTTATTGGCTTAATGTTTCTCCTCCAAATCAGCAGGTATGTGTTGTTTGAAGAGGTTTCTCGATGTTTCTGACCTTCAGCAGGCATCATACAATGTCATGTATGGGCCAGCTACAAAACATGGCAATGGGTATACATATGAAAGCTCATTCGTTCATGCCGGAGGACCAACTCATCCCAGCCCTGCCAAGAGTGCTCTACTTACTATCACAACGCATGGTGTTATTAGGATGTTTTGGTCGCAGAATACTAATCGACTTGAGGAAACCACCATGGAACTTGAAAGTATAAGTGCTTCTGATGAGCTCATTACACATGCATCGTTTGCATCCGAAAAGAGTAGGCATTTGGATTATCGTATTACTTTGTGTGTGTCACTGACAGCCGGCAGAACATCTCCTTCTTGCGGTTGCTACAACCTCAAAGCAGCTGAAACTAATCAGAATCGAGATTCAATGGGGCCAGGCATCACAAGCGGACAAGGCGACTGGCCGACCCGCAGGGAACTTGAGCCCTTCCCTGGTTGAGAAACATCTGGCCACTACAAACTGGCTTCAGGGTGGCCCTGGTGATTCGAGCCTCGACATATCCATGATCGAGCTCTCTCACTTGGAGGTTATTCCGTCTTTGGTTGACAGCACGGGCAAGAACACCACACCGCCCTTGGTTGTCACTACACGGTCACGCACTCCTACTGAGAGCTCGTATCAGGGGAGTCAGAGTGTTGTTGATCGATGGGAAGCTATCGAGCAAAAGCAGAATCTGCCATCGGCCTATGAACAGCTTGGAGGTCGACGAAACAGCATCTCTTCAGAGCTACCCGCGGTGACACAGCTGCAGAAGGTTGCTCCCGTCACGGCTAATAAGGTTGTGGTTGCGTTCCAAACCACTAGTTTTGGGAAAATTCTAGTACTGGCTTTCGCAGACGGCACTGTTGAATACCGTGACCGACTGACGTTCGAGGAACTATATACAACCCAAGAGTTGAATAAGGTGCAGAACCTTCGACAAATAGGCTGGACTTTCACAGATGAAGGACCATGCAAGTATACATATCCCAGAATGTTGCTCCTGTCTAACAATGGTTGTAGGCCAGCAAGTTGCATTCTCTCCTACTTTTTGCTCCATGGTACAGTTGGGCGAAGATGGAAAGATCAAGTGGAACAAATTACATTACCCTGGGGGCGACATTGGAAACTCTATGCATGATGGTATGTTGAACGATGAGAGGATTGGCGAGTTGCTAACCATATGCAGCTCAATACTGTGGCAGCATTGCGGCCTTGACAGTGACCGCAGCACCGTCAATGTTCTACCAGAACAATTACGATGATTTACTTGCTATCGTACGACCATATACTACCAAAAAAAGTATGTCCGCTTTGTGATATTCCTCGCCCGCCTGCTCACAAGGAATAGGATTCGTCCAGGATTTGGTGACCGAACTTATCAGAATTCTGAAGATCCAGATCGATTACTCTGAAGAGATCCATCATGACTCACTTGTCAGAAATGGATCTCTGCAGTACTGCCTCAGTATAATGAACGCGCTCGGATTCCGTGGAAACTTTCACCCCCGATCTTTCCAGGGGAAATTCTCGATGCTGTTTCTCAATGTGCGGAACGTAGTCGTGCTCATCACAATTGCCAGTAATACACCAGTTACTGTGAGGGAAAAGCTGAGCCCCCTCGATGATCCTGGTAAGTCATGCTGCCTACTCTTTGGTTTGCTTATAGCTACTTACATCAATACAGAAGTCATTGAGACACTTGTCGGCTGTGCCAAGTGGGCGCTAGATCTAATCGCTTGGCTCATGGATTGTCTTTTCGAGCTTATGAATGACAATCATTTCCAAGAGCTCTTGACTCGCGAACGTTTCCATGAACTTGCTCCTTATCTTCACGAGAAGAACAATGTCGCTTTCCATTTCTTGATGAGCTCCTCTAGCCGAGGGTTTCTTTCGGCGATTTGCCGCAGACTGGCGCACCTTGAGGCCCTAAGCGGCAGGGCCATCGAATTCTATCGAAAACAATCGGCTGTTGTTGAGGGTGTGGCCGGCGGCCGAGCAGCCCCACAACTACAACAGGCATACCAGGCAATGCAGCAAGTTACCTCTTCAGCTCTCGTCAAAGTGTCTGAGGTCGAGACTCTTCTCACAAGTCTGAGTAATGAGATCCGACAAGCCTATCAAATCTTCCTTCCATCCCTCGCCAAAAGCCAAAATAGCCAGGCGCAAGGGAAGCAGCTGGATATGACGATGAAGGCAGCCCGCGTTCAGATGGAGCTCTCTATTCTCCTCTCAGCTGCGCCCCCTGCACCGTTTCTCCAGATCATTAAGAAGTTCTTCAACACAGACTTGCCCGCGTTTCGGAACACTATAGATTCAGGCCGGTTGTTCTTTGCAAATTACGATCTTCTCGAAGTCGAGGATGACGAACATAGCCTGGCGGCGAAGAAGGCACACGGCATGGTGTATGTGGACGTGTTCAAGCGCATGCAGATCAGACCCTCCTCGAATAAGCAGTGGAGACGGTGCTCAAGATGTACTGCGGTTATGGAGGATGTGTTTGGGAGTCGTTCTGGGTTTACATTTGTTCTGGGTCAACAACGTAAGTGTTCTTGTGGAGGACAGTGGACGTTGCTTCCCAAGGGACACGTTGCGTGAGATCTTTAAGTTTGGGAGGCGTATATTTGGGTAATGTGATTAAGGTGGCATATAAGTCATTAGTAGTGCTATGATAAGTAAATACAAAAATCGTATTTCCCGTCTAGTAATGCTTTCGAAGTTTGTGACTTTTCGTGTATTTACACGTCCATCCTGATACATTCTCGGTACAGCTCCCAAGGTGTTGGAACACTTCTAGCTGCAATAACAGCCTTTCAACACGGAGATTCTCCCACCTCTCGGGTTATTGGTACTGAGCCCTGGCTAGACCGTTCAAAAGTCTCGGCGAATTTATGGAACGGCATTTTATCAGGGTTATAATGTATCACTAAGATGTTAACATGCTTCATCATATCGACATAAGACCCAACCAAAGGGTTGCAACTCAAGGCTATACTCAATCCTTAGACGGTATCTGAAGGGCAGCCAATTGTTAAACGAACATTGCATATACGATTATTGGTGGCTTGCTAAGTAATTTCAAGACTATCATTAACGGCTTTGCCATGGAACAATACACATACCCTATACTAACTACCTCGACACCAAGCTCAGAGAGGCAGCCTATCCCCATACCCCACGGGAGATTACGATGTGATGACTCCTAGAATCAGCGTTACCGAAACGGTAACGATAGTGCCGCTACGATTCCAAGTCGTACTGGAAGACCGTGATACTATGACTAGCAGATCGATCAACATTAGACCACGAGCCGCTCAGAGCGCCACCTAATTTCACGTCAGTGGGGGGAAGAATGATCACCAGGGTTTTTGACAGACAAACCAAGGTCGGTAGTTGCATTTACTGTCGATTTTGGTAACCTTCCGATGTATCCTTGTGTGATTGGGGAAGCTTCGTGGTGTACTGTCAGGATCGGCAGTTTGCCCTGGTATTTGCTGGATACAACCGTTTAACAACAAGAAACTCTCCGTTCATAATGATAGTTTGAGGTTACAAAGTATAATTGAGAACTATAACTGCATGAATGTGCATGTCAGTTTGTGGCCGGAGAGGTTTGTGGTGCTGCATGACACACTGCATGGTGTGAGATGGAGTGGTCCGGTCCATGCAACGTGGATTTCATGACTCAAGGTGCTTCTGGCGAAGACTACAGTGTTCAGACGAGAGCACGATAAGGAACTATTATATGGAATACTTGTAGTGTAAATTCAGCTTCAACATCGTTCGATAATAGTTCCCTGGTTGACTGCCGAGTATTGGCTTTCCTCTATGAACAATAGAGTGTCAGTCGGCGATCATAGTAAATACATACAAAGACCCTTAAAAAGAAGATGCCATTTCAATACGGGAACACAGCAGGGAAACACCCTGTAATTGTTGAGTTCATGCAACTACATATTCAAGTGCCTTTACGGAGTGCTATTACAAGTTATCATCAGCACGAGGGTCAATTGCCTCGATGAAACACCAAGAATTTAGTTCACGTCGACAATCTTCACCGCTTGTTTCCTGCGCCGAACCGGGGTACAAGTAATTTTCGTAAAATAAAATAAACGCCAACGGAGGATATCGAGGCTCTCTACTTTGGTTCGTGGATGTTTGCTTTGAGTTAGATGCCTTCACTTATTTTTGTCCAACAGCTTATTAGACTCCGTATTGAGCACGTGAAGCACTAGACAAGGGGGTAAACCAAGACCCCTGGCCCATGAGGCGGCAGAGCTGAAGCTGTGACTAGGAATCATCAAGGTTGTCTTGATATTACACAAGCGAATTGTTTAACAATTGCAGCAGCGAGTGAGCCTGCAAGCTTGAATGCTTTCATCCATAAAAGAAGAAAAGAAAGAAACAAATAAACAAAGAAAAAAGAGTTCCACCAGTTGACAAGCGGCTACTTGCATATGCATAGAATCATAGAACGTTTCGATAGCCGCCACCACGATATAACGGTGACACAATTACGCGCTGTCGTGGAACAATGCTTTTGAAAGAACATGGCCACGGACAGATGATCCCTGAACTTGTAGATATGTTTATTAACCCTGTTTTAGCCTTGTTCATGCCTTGTCCAACCGTTACCTGAGGCATTGGCCACAGATTGGTCGATGATAGATCGCCCTCGTTCTTTTTTAGTCAATAGTTAATAGGCAAATAGGTGAGATGATGTTTATAGCCCATGGGGACTTGAGCAGGATGAAATATCTTCAGTGGAAGCTATACTCCGCACCACTCCGAGACAAAGGATTGTCCATTTCAAGCGATCGACAGTTGATATCTGGAAGGTAGTATCACTAACATCCACTGCAAGTGTTTGGATGGTCCGAATTGGTCTGAACATGCCGCTCTTTGCGCGGCGCAATCAATCGAATCTGGCCCATCACCTTCATACCCCTGAACGTTTTTGGTCATGGTAGCGCCCAGGTCATGGCGCTAGCGCAGGTACTCTACCATCTCTGGGCTTTGTCACCACCGTCACCACAAATAACCCCTGGTTGTTTAATTGCAATTGGTTGATTAGCCCGCTCACGTTCTCCAGGCACAGATTTTGCTTCTCTGCGCAACGGTCTTTGACTGGTCATGCCTTTATTGATCGCGATCCAATGCGAAGAAAGACATCAAAGGCCGTGCCTGTGCCTGGGTCGGCTCTGCTTCCAAGCCTCACCATTCCTCTTGTCCCTCTTTCGAGATCCAATTCGCCTCTCGCATGAGAGATCAGCAAACCAACCAGTTCAATACCTTTTGGCCAAACACAAAGCCTTGTGGGGAGTTCACGCTTGCGGATCAGGGGTTAGCTCCCTTTTGGCTGGTGAGAGGCCAAGCTAATAGAGCTGCAATTATCGGACCCCTGACCTTAGCTTAGACTATTGTGCATGGTCCCCAGCCATCGTCGCAATTCTCCTCTCTTTTAGTTGCTGGGCTTGTTTTCTATCCATTCTTGCTCCCTTCGCTTCAACCCAGGGGCCAAATTTCACTTCTTCCTCCCTCACACGTTGGTGATTGAGGCCTTGTTCCGGTGATAAGACATTAGTATTGCTGCTACTACTGTACTATACTACCTGAACCTCACTATCGCTTGCTGGTGGCCCCTGGGTCAGCCGTCGATAGGTCGTCGCCTCACTCGTCACACACCCCCACTCCCTTCTTCTCCTTCACACCTCCTATCGCGCGCACACACACCAGCTTCACTTTCTTACCGCCGCGGTTCTACTACCCAGGACCTCACGAACCGTATAGTACGGTACCTTTGGGTGGCTCGTAGCGAGGACCGGTATATCTTCCAAATATGGAACCCGCCCTGGCCTCCGTTCCGGGGTCTGGAGTAACGGAGCCTTCTGCGACTTCTGATACTCGTTCTGATACCAAGACACCTCCTGTCGACGTCCCATCTGCAACATCTGCTACAACCTCTTTTGTCCCTGCAGATAACTCTATTCCATTATCCTCACCATCAGCCCACCCGCTTCAGATCGAAAAAGAACCGCATCCACCTTCTCCGAAATCCTCTCCCGCACACGCTCGATCTCAGACGGTAGACGTCCTACCCGGCTCGTCCTCGGTCTCCGGCTCTATTGCGTCGCCCTCCAGTTCCATCCAGTCTCCCATCGGAGGCCCAATTAAGCGCAAACCTCTGTCATCATCGGCATCAGCATTAGCATTGCGATACTCTGCGTCGGGATCTCCCTTGCCGTCACCTCTGGATCTTGGAAAGCCGAGCCAGAGATTCGCGAGACCTTGTTCAGTTGACAGCCCGACCCTCTACGAATTCTCTCCTGCGCAACGCGCCGCACAACCAGCTGCCCCGTGAGTACTCTTTTCAGCTTAATTCTTTGTCCCTTTGTCTCCATGTCTTTCACGTCCAACTGGACAACCCCTCACAGAAGCTGTGGCTAACTGGAATTCTTCTGGTAGAGCTCCCGACGCCAACCTGGCGTCCCTTGCCGCGACAACCCCTGGATCACAAAACATTCCAGGACACAGCCCTACCATTTCTAGTTCAGACTTCTCTGACGTCCTGGATGGGTATGATGATTTGATCTCAGACTCAAAATCAGATTCTGCACCAGACATTACCTCTGAGACCATCCTTGATGGGAGCGATAGTGACGACGACAAGGGCCAGAAGATATATTCCATCGACAAAGAAACTGCCATTGTTCCTAAAACCGCCGAGCCAGCCGACCGTTCTGAAACAGAGGTTCAAGGAACCCGATCACCTGCATCTGACGATACTATATCAGACCAGACTCTCGCTCCCGCCCCCATGTTTGTTCCAAAGCCAACACCACCACATCTCAAACTCGACAAGGTCACAATTGACGTTGCGAACTACGACACATCACCGGATGAACCAAACCCCCCCTCAGGTCAAGGAACACCACAGCTAAACAAGCCATTACCCAAGTCGCCGACCCAGAATTCACCATTTGCTTCTCTGTTCCACTGGGCAGCACCATCACCATCTCCCTCTGCGACGGAGTTTTCGTCCACATCATCGCCAATCTCCCCCTCGAAACGCGGCGTGGCCAATGATACCCCCTATTCTACGGTTAGCAACCCTTATTATATTCACGAAGATTCTTCAAGCGTGACGGATATCTCGAGCTCTCGTAACTCATACTCATCGGTTTTACAGTCCCCTACTTACGCGCAAATCGACGAAATGGAAGATGAATTAAAGGCAATCAGCGCCGAGCTGGCAAGCTCAATCCGGCGCGAGATAGATCTGGAAGACCTAGTAGATCGACTCCAGGAACAAGTCAATAACCCTCAAGCTCCCGGTAAGAGGTCAAGCGATTATTACTCCGACTCGGGTTATAGTTCGGCAAAGATGAGTGAAGCCGAACCGAGTCGAGAGGAACTTGAAAAGATTCAAAGGAGGGCCGAACAAGAGAAGGCTTCCATAAGATTAGAGCTCACAAATAAGCTCCAGGACGAAAGGGGGAAACGAAAAGCCCTCGACCACCAGATCAAAGAGCTTGCCGAAAAGGCATCGCAAATCGACCAGGCGCAATTAAACAACCAGGATGCCAGTGGTCGACTTAAGGATCTTGAAACTACTTGCGGCGATCTAAGGAGGCGACTATCCGAGGAGCGTGTTGTTAAGAACAACTTTGAGGACCTCATCAACGCCATCAGGGGAGAGCTCCACGAAGCGACCAGTGAGCGAGACAATCTCCGAGACGAAGTTGTTCCTCAACTCAGGGCGCGCGTCGAGGGCCTCGAGATAGAGGCTGCTGAATACTCGAACTTGACCTATGAGTCTTCCAAAATGCAGCAAGAGCTTCATATGCTCAGGAAAGAATATGACAACTTGCGAGGCTCATCGAGGTCCGGGTCTCCGACACCTTCAATGAACCGCATGTCTCGCGCTATGTCTGGCGGTTTCGGTGGCGGCCTTGCCCGATCAAACTCGGTTGCGACAGGCTCGTTCCGTGGCCAACGACCCTCTGGTCTATCACGGTCTAACAGTGTTAAGAACGTACAGAACGAGTCCAGAGAGGCACTCTCTGAGCGTCTAAAAGATGTCGAGGCCCAGAGAGACGCCCTCCATAAGGCCCTGAAAAATCTACTTGACCGCCAAGAGTTTCAGAATCGCGAAAACGAAAAGAAGATCAGGATGCTCCAGAACGAACGAGAGAGGCTCCTCTCAGCATCTCCAAGGAAGGCTGGATTTGAAAGAGAGATCTCAAACTTGCGCACAGAGATCAATGTTCTTCGTCGCCGAGCTGAAGATGCGCTTGAGCAGAAATGGCAGGTTGAAAGCGGCCTGGGCGGACTGAAGATGGATTTGGACAAGGCTGAAGAGGAGATCTCTTTGCTTCGCAACCTGCTAGAGGAAAAGGACATCCTTATTCCCGAATCGTTCGCACGCTCAAGTGGCTCCAGCAATGAGAGCAGCTCTTTTGGTAACCTGAGTGCCCCGGTCACATCTGAGTCGCTTGCCAAGGCTTACAATGAGCTCAAGGCTGCTTATACCGAATCACTCGAGAGGATCAAGCAGCTCGAGCACGAGACAGTTGGTGATGAGAAGACTCAGCTTGCTGTCGAGCGATTAGAGCGCACTCTGTCCATTGCAGTTTCTGAACGCGATGCTGCCCAACATGAAGTTGAAAATCTGAAAAATCAGTATGATACAATGAGCGAATATGAGGTCAAGACAATCGAAAGTGAGCGCGCTCTTGCTGACGAGCTTAACGACTCTGCTCGCCGGGTCGGAGAGCTCGCAACACAGGTTCAACAACAGCTCGCTGCAAATGCTCAGCTCCGAGAGCGTCTCTCTAACGCTGTCGTGCGAGGCGACAACGATCGCAAGGCTAACTCGGATCGGATCGCTGACCTGCAAGTCCGCCTCAAGGTCATGGAAGAGCAACTGATTGCTGCTCAGTCAGCATCTGAAGATCGTGTCAACCGTCACGAGGAGGAGATTGCTGCTATCCGCGAGGCACATAATGCCCAGCTCCAGCGCATGAGCAATAACACCGGACTCAGCGGCCCCCGTTCACCTAACTTTCAGGCTAACCGCAAGCCTTCGCTCCTCAGTCCTCTGTCCCCACGATTCCCCGGCGCTCTACGATCCCCTCGTCTGCCCGAGAAGTCTTTTGAGGACGCCGCTCAGATGGAGGTGCTTCGCAACCGCATTACCGAGTTGGAGAAGGCACTCGAGGACGCTGAGCAGGAGATGCAGGACGTCGTGGCTAGGATGAGCACTGCTCAGATCGAGGTGCTCAACCTCCAAGATGAGCGAGAGGCCGCAGTCCGCGAGACCCGACGTCTGCAGAAGCTTCTAGAGCAGGAGCAGATGAAATCCTTTGAGGATAGATTTAAGACGCTTAGTCGCAGCGCCTGAAAGAGAAGGAACACGAATAATTAAGACCATTTGGGTTGGAGTATTATGATGGGAGCACCTTTCACGGTTGGTGCCCATGTTGCATTTAGCGAGGCGGAGTTATCTGATTTCACCATCATCATTATTTGGTAATGATTCTCAGCGACCAGGAAACAAAGACCTGGACACGCATTCTACACGGACTCTGAATAGTCTTGGAGTACTCTATTGGGTACCCATCGTTGCGCTCACATTACGCGTGCATTGGAAAAGGAGCACTGGGGAAACATTTGTGTTGAATAGTTGATACTTGTTTTGCATCGAACACCGACCACAAAAGGGACGTGTATTCTTGAGTATATATAATGTTTGTATTCTCGTTTGACTATGAGTTTGTCGGGGGTGCTTGCAACTGTTGGATTGTAAGATATTGGAATGGGGACCAGCCGTCAAGTTAGCCGTTGTATATCAATCGAGTTTAATTGTAATGCATATTTGAGTACATTAAATCTGTGACGGAATGATTGCCTCGTGTTTTTGCATCTTGTTCAATAGTTCTTTATGTAATTTAAGTGCAGAAACGCCACGCTCTCAAGTTCTGGTATTTGCTCCTCCATGTTCTTACCTCAGGTTGTCTCTCAACGTGATTGGAAGTCGCTCTTTGCCATCGTGGTCGCGATTGCCGTTGAGCCCATTTATAAACTGACTTGGAAGCTGCCTGCCACACAAATTGCTAAATTCATCATTATTTTCGCGCCCTGCAGGATGTAACCATTTCTAACAAGACTGATCTCTTTCAACTTGTTGTATTATGCATACCATAGCACTTCAGGCCAAAGCATTTTCGTTCTCCTTTAGCCCCGATCCCCGAGTCATAGATACTGTCCCCAAGCTTGGCAGAACGCAATGATTTCGCTCAAACATCACGCCCTTTACTGGGTCTTGTCACTCTTGACAGTTCCTCTTACCAGCATCCGGAGGCTCCTCTTCAGCCATGGACTCTTTATGGGCTCTATTGACGAGGTCGAATTCGCGACTATGTGCCTCTCCATGTATTTTGTTGCACGCCCTGTGTTAGGCGGACTACAAGACTTTCATCGAGAAGTAGAAGTTGGCGTGACCAAGTGCAGTGGTCTTATAGAGGCGGCTGATCTCGAAAAGACCATCGAGGAGAATAGCATCACGAAAGAACCCGAATCCAGAAACGGCAATGCGAAAGGAACAAAGTCCCAAAAGCGCCGGAAGAAACCCGCCAAAGGTGGCAAAGGTGCCAATGGCAAGCCTCGAGCAGTTCACTTTCAGAAGGAGTCGGCCCAAAATGGGGATGCGAAGCTGTCGAACGGGAATAGAGCTCTTCAGAACATAGTGGCAGCACAACGACTCCGGAAGAAATCAACTAGTCGATACACTGCCAACCAGCAGTCATTCCTCAACTTGACTTGGAAGTACCTTGACATTCTGTATTTTATGCCTCTAGGGATTTTGTTCACTCATACAGAGCCTCTCATTGGGTTTGGTGAGCGTGATGGAAACTCTCATCTCCAGTCAGTTGGCCGAGTACTCCTGAGCTTTCTAGTCATGGGCATCCTGGAACCAATCAGACAGAACGTAAGTAGTTATGATGTTGTTCAGCCTGGCTTGTTTGCTAATGAGTTTCCCCTAGCGCTGGGACGTCGAAGTGTCTGGCCTGGGGATGTTCTCCTACTGTTGTGTATTATGCAGCGAAGGACCTGGGCCTTGGACGTCGACATTGATGGGAATTTGTGGCTTGTTGGTCATGGGAATCTTTATGGAGTGTTCCCTTTATACAAAGCTGCAGTATTGGCCTTGGTGGCCTGGTATCTGGTTCGCTGATAGCCTCAGTGGTCTCGATATTTTCATTCGTGTTTGGTTACTAGTGCCACTCATTGATGTTGCCGAGACTGTAGGTTTCTGAAACGCTCTGAGAGTAGAATAAACTAATGTAGCATCAGGTACTGTACGCTATTGCTTCCAGAGTCCGTCCAGGATGGTATAAAAAGAGACTTGAGCTTATGGAAAGACCTCTTTAGTACACGAGGGTTACGCATAGGATCTTTGTCATGGTAGTCACCTGGCTTCTTTTTACTGTAATTCGGACAGCCCCCTGGCAGCACCTGGTTTTGAAGCAGAATAATGGAGATAACTTCATTGACACGACGACACCTATCGAGTCGATGCAGACAGGGAATGGTCCTACTTGCGAGGATGCTAAGAGTCTCCTAGGAAACCGCTATATGCCCTGATGATGGCTGGACCAGCCAGTGGAAACGTTGAAAGCGATCATAACTACGAGTAATCAGGAAGTGTGGTCTTGTTACAAATACCTAGCTAGTCTGTATGCAACGTATAAAGCTCTGTTCTGCACAGCTTTAGCAGAATAGGAACTGACAGGTACATGCTCCAATGCCCGAGTGTCCGTGATTAGGCATGCTTGCCGTGTAAACGCACTGACTGAAACAAAACGCCGTATCCGAAGCCACACAGCATTGGTAAAGATGGGCCACTCAACTTGAGTGAGGTTTAAGAAAAACGTCCTTGTTGTAATATCTTTCGATAGCCCGGGGAAAGGCAGAAATTTCGAAATCAGAATGACAAAAAGACAAACGAAATCAAATAAGATAAGTCTAGAGTATCCTAGTAATATTTTAGTGAGCTCTTTGAGCAGCTGGTTTTTGCCTTTTGATCCGAGTCTTAATAATTGTGACGCAACGAGGCCTGCATAATAGCTATGCATATGCATCTCACCTGGCTACGACTCAGGTTCAAACAGCTCTTTGCATGTGAACAGGGGCAAGTAATGAGAGTTTGGCAGCATTAATTTTAGATTTTACTAATATTATTCTCATTATCAATATCTTGCTGAGTTTCATCGCGCCCAGAACCTCCAAGTGCCGCTGATTCTTGACATGTCAATATCATCTTCTGAGGGGCAGTGCAGCGTCAGATATCATAATTAGTATAATTGCAATCCCATTCATGTTCCTGTGCTTTGTCTCGTCCTCAAGTCCGAGGAGATGCTTATGAGGATTCACCAACTTGGCGGAGCCCTTGTGGCCAACAGACTGAACTGAGAGACGACGCATAATGATGAAACGAGACATATCAAATATCACATCGCAAAAAGAAACGTGAACATCATGATTCAAGCCACCTTCTAAAGACTGTCGACAGACTCGAGATGTGACATGATGATCTCTAGAGCTTTGACGTCTGTGGTCGCTCACCGGAGGTTTATTGAAGCTGGGCGTTCAAGATGAGACCCCCACACCTTGGCTGGACCAATCAAGGTGAAAGTGCTTATCAGAGACCATGGGTAAGCCTCAGCTCAGTGGCTAAGAGGAAGTTTCGTCGTGTGTGACGGGTTGACTCAAGTTGACCATTTCTTTGCTTTTTGTTTTAAAGGAGAGGAAGGCCGAGTCCTGTCGTTTATACACTGGGTGAGTGGATAGTGGTGAGGAGATAACACTGAGTGTACGGAGTAGAGTTATTCATAACTTCCTTGTAGAGCATCAATCTGCATCTCGGAGGGACCCAGAGGCAAATAGATCAACATTACATGTAAGCAGTCAGGGGCAGGCTGGGGTCTGGGGATGTCTTATCAGAAGGAAGATCTGGGGTTTTATAGCGAGCGATATAGGCATTCTTTGCCATTTGTCGTGCGTTTTACATGAGTTTTTGGCAAAGTGAAGCGAGATATCGTAGCAGCGAGAGAAATCTAATGCCACCGCAACAGAAAGCTGAAATTTGTTCCTGCATATCGAAGCCTTGTCAGGGCTAGAACTGGATAAGTTTGCGATGAATTTCTTACGAGGCGGCAATGGCGTGGTCGAAGAGGACTGGAAAGGCTATGGAAAGGGACTGAGTATAAGGGGGAACTCTAAGTGAGCTTTATGAATTAAGTTGCAGTGGAAGTGCGCCCGTAGTAAAACTTGATGCCTTTGTCTGCGGGCAATTCACCTGGATGCTCATTCAGAATACAATTGAGATTGAGGCTGGCGATGAAGGTAGATAGTGTGAGAGTGAGAAGTGAGTGGCGAGGCTTAACTAAGGATAACTCTTCCGCAAGTCGATACGCGCCCGATGTACTGGATCGCCTGGTCTGGGGTGACCCCCACTGTAGAGTAGTTGACAGAATAATTCAGTATTGAGACGCCAGATTGACATGTGTGGCTTTTCAATCTATTTCGTCGCCTCCCACTCTAGCTCAGAGTCGAATTGCCTCGCCCCGAAAAAAACGTCACGGCGGTACCGCCGGTAATCTCGAGACCCTTTTCGCGTCGTCGTCGTCTCCTCCATATTTTCCCTCTTAACCAAAAGCCCACGGAGTCAGGCCAGATACATCTAGCAGTCTAACTCGGTATATTACGTCGTCCCAGGGGTTGCACAGCCAAGCTCACGTCCAGGGATCTCTTATCTCTGTCCCGCCTGAACCGGAATCGCGCCCTTTTCCTCTCACATTCTCAATCTCAGCCGTGCACACTCTCAACACCAATTGCACCCCCTGCCTGGATCTCTTATCTTTAGAGTCTCTTCCTCCCTTCTTCCTACTTTACTGTTGGCCCAGAATGTCACTATCACTTCCGCTGTCACGCAGTGCAACCTTCTTGACCTTGTCACATCATCCCTCTTTATCGACGTTGGCATTTCTATTTCTATATCACTCCTCCCAAGTCAGAACCGGCGTCATGGCTATGGGAGGTGATGGTGATGCTCGAGGAGCAACGCAGCTCAAGTATAACGGTACAGGCGCAACAGGTGCTAATCCGCTCAATATGGATGTCAATATCTGGTACGAGGTGAGTTGTCCATCTCCGTCTCTCATTCTCTCCTCCTTGGTCCTCGCTATGTTCACTTTCTATTCTATTCCTCTTGATCTCTCAGTCTTCTCATCTTTCTCTCACTCGAAACCAAAAAAGAGTCTGAGAAAGTCCTTTGAGACAGGCAGTGGGTCGCGTTGAATAGTGGCCCCTCCAATATCTTGAACGCCCGCAAGCTGACACTTTGCGCCCGCAGCCTGGTGATATCGCCTGGATGCTCTCGGCCACGGCTTTAGTGCTGCTAATGGTTCCTGGCGTTGGGTAAGTCTTTCTCTGGCGCCGTTCAATCGGATTAGTGATCTCATTTGCTGACGTTTGTGTCCAAAGCTTCTTCTATTCAGGCCTCGCCCGCCGCAAATCGGCTCTGTCGCTTATATGGCTCTCAGTAATGAGCGCTGCAGTAACAACTTTCCAATGGTTCTTCTGGGGCTTCTCTCTCACCTTCTCGCATACGGCCGGCCCGTTTATCGGTGACCTTGCCAACTTTGGCTTTCGCGATGTCCTAGCCCGGCCCTCGGTTGGTTCCGCACATCTCCCCGATATGCTCTTCGCCGTTTACCAGGGCATGTTCTCCGCCCTAACTGTGGCTCTCGCTACCGGTGCCGTCGCCGAGCGTGGCCGCATGCTCCCCTGCATCATCTTCACCTTCGTGTGGGCCACTGTCGTGTACGACCCTATTGCTTGCTGGACCTGGAACCCCAGTGGCTGGTCTAACAAGATGGGCGGCCTCGATTTTGCCGGAGGTACCCCTGTGCACATCGCTTCTGGAAGCGCTGCTCTGGCTTATTCCATGATGCTGGGCAAGCGTAGTGGCCATGGAACTCATGAGCTCAACTACCGCCCTCACAATGCTACTCATATCGTGACCGGAACGGTCTTCCTTTGGGTTGGATGGTTTGGCTTCAACGCCGGCTCTGCCCTCTCTGCTAACCTTCGCGGCGTAATGGCCGCCGTCGTAACTAACCTTGCTGCTTGCGTCGGTGGCATAACCTGGTGTCTCTTGGACTATCGTCTGGAGAGGAAGTTCTCCACTGTCGGCTTTTGCTCTGGTGTTGTTGCCGGTCTCGTCTGCATCACCCCTGGCTCTGGTGAGCACGTCACAATCTCTCAAATCTGACATGAGCTAACATCAGTCTAGGTTACGTCCCCCCATGGGCTGCTGTCATCTTTGGTGCTGTCGGCGCTGCTGGCTCTAACTATGCTACCAAGGTGAAGTTCCTCCTTGGAATTGATGATGCCCTCGATATCTTCGCCGTCCACGGTATCGGTGGTTTGATCGGCAATATCTGCACCGCCTTCTTCGCCACCCCAAGCATCGCTGCCCTCGACGGCTACTCTCACATCAAGGGCGGTTGGGTCGAACGTCACTGGGCGCAGATGGGTTATCAATTAGCCGATTCCATCTGTGGAGGCCTATACTCATTCGTCGTCACTTGCATCATCCTATTCCTCATGAACCTCATTCCCGGTCTGCGTCTTCGAGTCGACTCGGATGCTGAAGTCCAGGGTATTGACGACGCTGAGATTGGAGAGTTCGCATACGACTACGTTGAGCTTACCCGTGAAGTCGTCAGCGATATCGACAACGAGTCTGGAAGCCGATACTCAGCTGATCCTACGGCTTTTCACCATTACGAAAAGAACCACATCCCTATGATTGATGCTCGCATGTTTGGTGGCCAGCCCGCGCAGGCCCCTGTGACGTTTCCACAGTGAGGTTGCTTATGACAGGCAGGACGGCTATATGTATTGAGTCAAATTGTACGCATCGAACGGCGCCATGGGTCTGGAATTGTTGAGTTATAGATACCCCGGTTCTTTTCCTGAACCGATTTTATTGGATGATTTAGTTGTATAGTATATGGTTTCATTGTTGTATCAGGTTATCAGCCTGGGTAGACACTTCAGCATAAAAAATAAGAGGCATATTTTTTCCATCCAAAGACCTTTCTCAGGTAGTCTCCGCGACGCACTATGACAATGGAACCTTTTTCATTCACGATTATCCTTGTTAATTAGCGGGTCGGACCGTGATTCAGCACTGAAGCCTGGCGATTTTTAGCGGTTCGTGCATGAGACTGGCCAATCAGGCGAGACGATTGTCTTTGAACTTGGCAATCTCTTGAGTCTTGAATGCATCATGAACATCGAACATCCCCTCCTCTTGGATTAATAGCAGCAGTCTGAACAGCTAAATTTGTACAATACTACAACACATGGGCTTACATAACTACCTAGCGATATCTTACGGCAGGCAACAGCCAGTAAATTTTGGGGTATGATAGAAACTCTGCCTTTAAAGTCGCGTTTCATGGCGCAAGTCTCACAAGAATAAACAAACTCCGAAACCTCACCATGACCTCCCTACAAGAGAAGACAGCTTTCTTTGATCAGCTAAAGCCGCTCTCTAGCGATGATGAGCTTGACACGGACCAACAGAAAGAAAGGATGCGCTCTCGGAGGTTCTTCGCCGTCAAAGCACGCCCCAGACTACCAGCAAAAGAATCTGTCGTGCTTGATCTAACTAACAGTGAAGCTCAAAAGTCGCGAGTGACACCTAGAAGGGTCACTTCACTCCCAATGTCAGCATCTGCTAATAGAACAAAGATCATCAAAGGCACTCCGATGACTGCGATCGGCCAAAAGACCAGGCTCGGCACGCTGATGAATCAACGCAGCGCCGGGGCTATTCTAGTCGACGATACACCTATTCCTGACTCTACAAGGCAGACACAGAGAACACTCCCTCGGAGCGGGTCTACACCTTTGTTCCCGTCGGGTCGAAACATTGGACAAACTGTAGGCGATTCGCCTTCCCCGAGCTTGGCAATGAAAAAGCGAAAGCGTGAAAATATTGTCAAACTCAAGCCAGAGAGCGAACAGATATTCAAAGGACTCACTTTCTATTACGTTCCTGATGACGATGTTGCACCAGCTCGTCGATTTCGTATCACAAAGGCGCGCGAGTTTGGTGCAACGTGGGTGCGGACTCCACGCATTGCTACCCATATTGTTGTTGAGAAACACATACAGTACAAGGATATCGAGAGCGTGTTGAAGAATACGAACAGGAACCTTCCGCCTAAAATCGTCAATGAAGAATACCCCATTGACTGCATCCAATTCAAAGCGCTGCTTCAATGCAGCCAAAAGAAGTATCGGCTTACAGGCCAACCGATAGTCCAGGAAGAGGATAACTCACCACCACTTGTCCCATCAAGCTCCGGGGAGCCTAATGAGTTTTTACAAGTGAAACCGCATCATAGAAATTCGAAGAAGTGGGATTTTGTTCCTCTCACAGGAACACCTGAAAGGAGTGAAGAGTCTCCTCATCACAGTCAAGTTGCCGAGACTCCTATCCCGGCTGATTCTCAGCCAGTTGTGCTTGATCTTCAGGAGATGGCCTCCTCTCATTGTACGACTAGTGAAAGGCCTACGATTTCCCGACAAAACTCCACGATATTTGTTCACGAACCTTGTGGCTCAATGCAGCGCCCAGACGAGGATCGCCATAAGGATGAGCTATCCGAGTACATCAAGATAATATCGGAGTATAAGGACCTCCCATTAGATGTAGATGATGATGATGTCCAGACGGCTACGGAAATGGGAGATCTAGAATCCGAAGAACAGTCCCTTTCAGGCTCAGAAGATGAACGGGCTAACAAACGAAGATCGCGAAGAAAGATTAGATCCGATCGCAAAGACATTGCTTTCGAAGATCGATTCTCCTGCAACTCTGCCGGAGTGAAAGATGCCAAGGCGGGGAATCCAAATTCGCGCACAATCGAGGTTCTCCAATCCATGACTGATTACTATACCCGGGTGAACGACCATTGGCGAACAACCGCCTATCGAAAAGTCATCAGCACCCTAAAGCGTCAAGAGACAAAAATCACAACCGCCGAGGAGGCACAAAGACTACCCAGTGTGGGACCGCGCCTGGCGCAGAAGATCGAGGAAATAGTCACTACAGATAGGCTTCAGCGACTTGAGTACGCCCAGAAAGAGCCGATGGACGAGGCACTCCAATTGTTCCTCGGAATTTATGGTGTTGGAAACAGTCAGGCCCAGCAATGGTTGGCTCAAGGATTCCGGACATTGGACGACTTGAAAACGAGTGCGAAACCCTCACCAAATCAGCTCATAGGTATCGAGCACTATGATGACCTCAACACCAGGATTCCGCGTCGTGAGATTGAGGCCTTGGGTGCTATTGTGAAAAGAGGTGCTCAGCGTGTCGATCCTCAGGTTGAGTTGATCATTGGGGGAAGTTATCGAAGAGGAGCAGAAACGTCGGGCGATATCGATTTCATCATCACCAAGCCGAATACCGAGTCATCGGCTGAACTGAGGCCTTTTCTTGATAGTCTTGTCCAACTTCTTGAAACTGAAGACTTCCTGGTGGCACGGCTCGCGTCATCACGATCTGTCAGCGACGGAAGTAAATGGCATGGATGCTGTGTGCTCCCTAAGATCAGTGGCTTCAATGAGGAGCATTACAGAGCCGTATGGCGCCGCATCGACTTTCTCCTGGTTCCCGAATCAGAGATGGGCGCGGCCCTGATTTATTTCACTGGCAATGACATCTTTAATCGCAGCATGCGACTATTGGCTTCCAAGAAGGGAATGCGACTGAACCAACGGGGTTTATACAAGGATGTGATGCGAGGGCCGCAACGAGTCAAGGTCACGGAGGGAGAGCTAGTAGAGGGACGAGATGAACGAAAGATCTTTGATATTCTGGGGGTCAACTGGAGAGAGCCTCATGAGCGGTGGTGTTGAAGGTCCAACCAATGATTAGTAGAGGATTATCCCCAAATTTTTCTTCATCATGGTTCGTTGGATGGAGGCGTTGTATATAGCATCACAGAGCCTCACGGTGTCATTCATTTTTGGTCTACCGAGGTCAAAGTGGAGGATTTTTCGGGATGAACCAAGGGTACTTGAATAGCGTGGAGTTAAGGGGTTCGAAAACTGGAGATGAGGTCCATACGCATAAGAAGGTCGATTTTGAAGCACTCCATGAAGGCATGATAATGAGATATAGACTATACGTAACGTGCCTAGTCGTCCCATGTGAATCTGACTGATGTGAGATTTCCCCAGATCTTGGCTAATGCAACTGGAACCTCCGTCGAATCGTCATTCACATGTGATATTCTTTTAGATCATTCCTCTCCAAATATCAGACCTTTCAGTGGACAGCTCCCGCTGCGTCATAGTCGACTACGCACTGTAGTGTATTTTCCAGTGGGGAGCTATTATTGCCGGTGCCATTCTCCGCAACACAAGCCGAGCGCCAAAGCCCAAACATCCGAGGCTCAGTAGACAGGTGACATAGCACGTATCCATAATCCGGGGCGCCTTCAAAACCCATGAACCTACCAACTTTATCGATACCTCTGAATCCATCCATGCTCCTATACGACTCTTCCGCACGTGGAATCTGACCTGCAAAATCACGCGACAACATTCGATGCCTTGAGACCAAAGCGCATTCCGACAAACATCCTCTCTCGACGCTGCGACCGACCCTCTCTTTACGGTTCTTTTGCCGAGGCTTGGGGACAAGATGGCCATGTCATCCTCACTGGAAGTGCTAAAGGTACGGCCCTCATCGACTTGTGGCATGATGAAGTTTGCGCTGACGTTCTTTGGGTAGAACACGCTGGAGGAGATTGTCAAGGACCCGCGATATCATGATCTCTTGTCCCTAGTTAAGACAGCGCGCAATGGTATTATCTACGGAACCAAGGTGCGGTTTCCGCATGCGCTGGTGTAAGTCATATGCACTCTCCTGGCAACCCGAATACTGACAAATATGAATAGGATGGTATTTCTCTTCCGCTCTGGAACGTATGTTCGACCTGCCTTGAAACCCGACCGCCAACAACGCTGACGTGCAACAACAGACTCCCACAGAAAGTCAACCTAGTCCTTCGAGCGACAAGACATCATGCAACCAACTTGGCGCGCTTTGCACTTATTTATAAGCTGACCATGCTTGCCCTCAAATACTTTGGCGCAGAGCCTGGAAAGGAGGGTATGTCATCGTCACCGAAACTTACTCTCAGCATTTTCCCACTCAGGATTCTAACTATGAATAGGAACATACGACTCATTCGTTGGTGGTCTTGTGGGCGGATATTTCGTCTTCGGCGGCCGTTCCAAGCGTACGGGAAAGATCTCATCGGTCAACCAGCAGATCGTCATCTACGTCTTTGCGCGAGTGATGCTCGCACTCGCCCGCATCGCCGTGAAGCCAGGCCACGGATTCCCATTCGTATCGTCCGAACCTCTCCATGGAGTCATTAATCAATATGCCTGGCCTGCGTTCGCGTCGCTCTCGTGGGCCATGGTGATGTTGATCTTCCGATACCATCCCGAGGAGCTGCAGTCGAGCTTGAGAAGCAGTATGACGTACATTTATAAGGACTGCAATGAATTTGACTCGCTCCGGACCTTGCTTTGGCATAACAAATAGACGGTGATTCTTCTGTCGGTTAGTTGGGTTGGCGTTGGGCGTGAGAGATGCTCGATAATTTTGCATATCGGGATTCATTGTTTTAGCATTGCAGTCGTCATAGGCCGGAACCTTGGGTTTTTAGGAAGCATGAGTAGACATGGAACCAATATGATAGAGGTGAATTTGTCCTACTTGTAGGTAGGTTGGGAATATTTGAATTCGAATATTGAATGTCATACCATACACTCTATATCGTTATAAAGAAGTTTAGCCAAAGCTTATTCGTTACGCTAATAAAGCTTTGGATGATTTCAATCAAGTTGCTATTGATTCGGCCATTAAGGAAGAAAGATTCCCAGTCTGAGCCAAGTTAGCATTACCCAGCGGTCGTCGTGGCACCTCCGTGTACTTAAGCAGGTTTAATTAGCACCTCTCGTAAGTTTACTCAGGGGTTAAGCGTCTTGTCAATTACAACTTGTGTCATCAAGTTGAACAGTATGAAAATTGTCAAGCTTTAATAGCTGCCCTGCTGCCTCAACCAGATCGCGCTAATCCGGCAACCTACCCCGCTAGAGCTAACCCCTGCTTGCCCCTCCACACTGACGCCTTTAGTGAGCCTCAACTTTACCCCCAGGCAGCTATACCTCCACCTCAGTCCATCATCTTTGCATCCATCTAACAGATTCCTACCAACCGATGGCCATGGCACCAGATCCCAAAGTCGCGGAGGCGATCTCCAATGCCGAGTCTTATTCTGGAGAGAAGGGACCTCTCTACGAGCAACTGCTATCCGAAATTAAGAACATTTCTTCCCCGTCCACCGCTACCAACGACCTAAATGCTATCATCGACTCCTTCTTTACCCAGGCGCTCGGCGTCGTGGCTACGCGAACCGTCCTCGCTTCCTTTATTGCGACACTTCGAGAACTGAAGAACGAGGGTATTTGGATCGAGGTTGGGAATCAAACGCTAAACACCATCGCGGCCCAGCCATCATCTTCTTCCTTCGTCGATGCCGTCGCCACTATCCGTGAGCTCATTGCAACGGCCCACGAAAGCAACGGCGACTTCCTCGATGCTGCAAAGACTCTGGCCGATATTCCCCTCGATAGTTCTCAGCGCAAGATCACCGATGAGGAGAAGGCTCGCACCTGGATTCGTATCGTTCGGAACTACCTCGAAGTCGACGACTCTACGGCCGCTGAGATGTATATCAACAAGCTCAAGAACATCATGCATACCGTATCTGATCAAGAACTGAACTTGCACTTCAAGCTCTCACAAGCCCGTATTCTGGACGCCCAACGCGACTTTTTATCCGCATCTCAACGATATCATGAGATCAGCTTCTCGCCTGCGATCGACGAAGAGGAACGCTTACATACGCTCAGTATGGCGGTGAAATGTGCTGTTCTGGCACCCGCTGGCCCCATGAGAAATCGAACATTGAGCCGTCTCTACAAAGATGAACGTTCATCGCAACTTGAGGAATTTGGTATCCTGGAAAAGATGTTCCTTGACCGGCTGTTGTCACCAGAGGAGGTTGACAAGTTTGCAGAGGGGCTCCAACCACATCAGCTGGCAACTACGTCAGATGGCTCCACGGTACTTGCCAAGGCTGTTGTCGAGCACAATCTTCTCGGCGCATCCAGGCTTTACAGCAATATTAGATTCGAGGCTCTGGGAACACTATTGGGCCTGGATGCTGATAAGGCTGAAGAGACCACTGCACGTATGATTGAGCAGGGCCGTTTAGTCGGACGTATGGATCAGATTGATGGCATTGTGTACTTTGAGGGTGGCGAGGCATCTGGAGAGAAGGGGAGTGGGCGAGCAGAAATTATTGTTGGCAAGGAAATGCGAAATTGGGATGCCAACGTGGAGAGTTTGGCTGAGGAGGTGGAGAATGTCACCAATGCGCTGCAAAAGGAGTTTCCCGTAAGTACTCAACTTGTTAATTATGACTTTGGTTGATCTCGTACTGACTCTATTTTGATAGGAATTTGTTGCCGCAACCCTTGTTGTATGAAAAAGGGCCGGAATAGAACCTCGTAGTGGATATGGCGTTTAGGGATTGGGATGATCAAGGGCTGTTTATGTCAATGCATAGCATATGGATCCCTTTGGTTCTAGGTTGGCAATTTTAATAAGCCAAAAGCTTTAGTCCAAGTCTGTCTTGCGGACCACCACGTATCCTTCATTGATATTTCGAGGGTTGCCATCCTCTTCATCGAACTGGACTTCATCCTCCAATGCCAAAACTTCTGAGGTTTTTGAGTTGGTGGGCTCTTCAAATGTGCCTTCGCTCCAGAGGATGTCTATAAGGGCATCGGCGATGTGATTGCCCATCCAGTCGTAGCCCTCGTCTCGAAGATGGAGACCGTCATCCCAGTACCTTTCGCGATCCCGTTCTGAGAGTGAAAGGTAGGGTATCTTGGAATGAAGATCAAAGGCGTAACTTATAAAGTCAGCATCAACTAACAGCATAGGCAGTCATATAATAGTGAAAACTCATATAAAGACATTTGTCGAGTCGTTAAACTTACTATCCCGTGTCTTTGTTCTTAAGGATGCTCTGGTTGAGCTCGTTTCTTGCCGACGTGCCTCTCTTGCCTTTTGACTGACACTCAGGGACCGTCAGAGCGAGGACCTTGGATTCTCGGCTCAGAGGGATATCATATAAATCCTTAAGGGCGGAAAAGATGTTTTCAGGCGTGACGCCGTACGCTATATCGCTACAGGCGCATATCAGCATATTTGTATCTGGCAGAAGGGGCTTGTATAACTCACTTCGTACCGCCGAGGATAATTGTCCAGTCGTAATAATTATCCTCCCCTATCCATCTTTGTTAGCCAGTAAACGCTACCGAAGGTTTGAAAGAACACCATGTAATGAGAGTCACGTACATGCAGCCTCCATTCTATCTTTAAAGCGCTTGAAAGAAGCAACATCGCCCGGCACAGCATTCACCACGATCTCAAAGTCCACTTCGGGAAACGTCCCGGTGAGCCGGTCTTCTAGCTTGAGAGAGTATGGATGTGAGTCCATGCCATAGCAGAAATATCCCGAAGTCAGCGAGTCTCCAAAGCATAGTATACGAAGCGTCTTGCGAGGCATGGTGACGATGTCTTCTGTTTCAGGTTGTGTAAACGGTGGGTGAGTAATAGCGAGGCGGGGTGTTATGAAAGGTGATTGCGTGGGTGAGTCGGTTGGTGTAAGCAGGCTGCAGCACTGGAGGCTCTGCGAGAAGGTTCACCCGCGTGTGCACTGACTACTATACCTAAGGTACCTATATGTTTGTAAACTCCTGTGCGGCTTATTCAGTTTATATTACAATATACCAGAATAGCTCCTTATTTACTTAGGCTTTAGAATTCCTATTAAAGACTTGTTAAATACTTAATTTTACTACATAGAGTTAACTATAAATAGATAGAGAGTTAATAAGTAAAATATTTTATAATAAAGGAAATTTAAATATATATATATTTATTTATTTATAGAAAGTGTAAATTATCTAATTAATTTTGTTATTAGGGACAAGTAAAATATAACATATATTTAAGCCTATAGATTCTCGACCTCTAGAAAATAGCATCGGTGAGATGGCCGAGTTGGTTATGGCGCCAGGTTAAGGTTAACCTTAACACCAATCTCCTGGTGGAGCAATCCTCCTGGGTTCGAGTCCCAGTCTCATCAATTAATCTTTTTGATTCCTATTTATCGAGTGAGCCAAGGGTCCTTTTTGCTACTCGTGCGATGACGGAGTTGTCCCACGACATCATCGTAAAAAAGCTCCAATCTTTTCAGGCTTCCTAGGCATAAACTCAATTTCTATATAGCTATTGTCACTGCTGATAAACGAGCTCGCACTCCTCCCAACAATTCTAGTACGGACGACCTTCAACCTCCGCGTTCGTTCGTCATATCTCAAGCTTTGACCAAGTATTTAAGGCTGATTCCCCTGCAAATATTTATAATTGCAACAATTCAGAGCGACGCTGGTTGCTCTTTTTTCCCGCGACTGCCCCGCCCCCTCCATTGCTCTTCCGCAATCGCTATTACCCCGCCAAACTTTTTTCCTTTTCGTCTTTCCTTACTCGCCCGAGAGCCCAATCCAAACCTGAATGAGACGCCCTCTTCCCACTTATATCTCTTCTTGTTTTTCTTCTTTGTCGTCCCCTTCTGTCTTTCGTCTTTCCCCCGTTTTCTCTCCCAAAAGGTTCTCTTTCCTAGCTTCCAAGATGTCCTCCCAGCAGAAGATCGCCATCGTCTCAGTCTACGACAAGACCGGTCTTCTGGACCTGGCCAAGGGCCTTGTCCAGCAGAATGTTCGAATTCTCGCTTCTGGAGGCACCTCCAAGATGATCCGAGAGTCTGGATTCCCTGTCGAGTGAGTCAATACAAGCGCTCAATTGCTTGATACTAGAGCTAAACGACTTCCGCAGGGACGTCTCTGCCATCACCAAGGCCCCCGAGATGCTTGCTGGTCGTGTCAAGACGCTTCACCCTGCCGTCCATGCAGGTATCCTGGCCCGTGATCTAGCCTCCGACGAGAAGGACCTCGCCGAGCAGAACATCAACAAGGTCGATTATGTTATCTGCAACCTCTACCCCTTCAAGGATACCGTTGCCAAGATCAACGTCAGCATCCCTGAAGCCGTTGAGGAGATTGACATCGGTGGTGTTACTCTTATTCGTGCTGCCGCCAAGAACCACAAGCGCGTCACTATCCTCAGTGACCCTAACGACTACGCTGGCTTCCTCAAGGAGCTCGAGAAGGGCGAGATCACTGAGGCCAGCCGTAACCGCTATGCCCTCAAGGCTTTTGAGCATACTGCCGACTACGATGCTGCTATCTCTCAGTTCTTCCGCAAGGAGTACGCCGGCAACGGCGATCAATACACTGCCCTTCGATATGGCGCCAACCCTCACCAGAAGCCTGCCGCCGCCTATGTTTCCGAGGGCAACCTGCCTTTCAAGGTTCTGTGCGGCTCACCCGGCTATATCAACCTCCTTGACTCTCTTAACGCCTGGCCTCTGGTCAAGGAGCTCAAGAAGGCTCTTGGCAAGCCTGCTGCTGCCAGCTTCAAGCACGTCTCTCCCGCCGGTGCTGCCATTGGCCTGCCCCTTACCGAGGACGAGAAGAAGGTCTACTTTGTCCATGACATCGAGGGTATTGATGAGTCCAGCCTCGCCCAGGCCTATGCTCGTGCTCGAGGAGCCGATCGCATGAGCAGCTTTGGCGATATGATCGCTCTCAGCGATGTTGTTGACGTTCCTACTGCCCGCATCATCTCCAAGGAGGTCTCCGATGGTGTTATTGCTCCTGGCTACGAGGATGCCGCTCTTGAGATCCTCAAGAAGAAGAAGGGTGGCCGATACCTTGTTCTTCAGATCGACCCCGAATATAACCCTCCTGCTACCGAGACCCGCACCGTCTATGGCATTAACCTCCAGCAGCACCGCAACGATGTCGAGATCACCCCCAAGCACTTCAGCACAATCATCACCCCGAAGGACACTGCTTCTCTCCCAGAGAGCGCCGCTCGCGATCTGACCATTGCCACCATTACTCTCAAGTACACTCAAAGCAACTCCGTGTGCTACGCATACAATGGCCAGGTTGTTGGTCTCGGTGCTGGCCAACAGTCCCGAATTCATTGCACTCGACTTGCCGGTGACAAGGCCGACAACTGGTGGATGCGATTTCATGAGCGCGTTCTCGGCATCAAGTGGAAGAAGGGTACCAAGCGACCTGACAAGAGCAACGCCATCGACCTGCTCGTCAGTGGCCAGCTCCCTAAGGATGGTCCTGAGCGCGAAGCGTTTGAGGGTGTCTTCGAGGAGGTCCCCGCTGCCTTCACCCCTGAGGAACGTGAGGCTTGGATGAAGCAGCTTAAGGATGTTTGCGTTTCCAGCGACGCTTTCGTAAGTAGTATATCCATCGGCTGATTGAATTCTACTAACATGCATGATAGTTCCCCTTCATTGACAATGTCTTCCGCGTTGCTCAGTCAGGGGCCAAGTATGTTGCCGCTCCTGGTGGCAGCCAAAACGATGCCGCCGTTTTCGATACTGCCGAGAAGCTGGGCATTACCTTTGTTGAGCAGAACATTCGTCTGTTCCACCACTAAGTGATACCTCGTCGAAAGTTTTTTTTTTATAGCAATTTGATATGGAATTGGAATTGGAAAAGAGAAAAAGGCCTGGGAGTTTTGGCCTGGAAAAGAAGGATTCCCAGAGATTGTGATCTGTATGATTGCGATATTGTATACATGATAGACTTAACGCCGCGCCCAGACGCTCACTTCAACGTGATGATGATGATTTGAACCTTTTGTAAAAGCTTTCCGTCCCTATACATTTCTCCCCTCTCGCTTAAAAGTCGATTTACCCGAGACCGTGAACCCAGCCCAAATTATCTATCCCCTTTTGCTCCATTGTTGTCATGATCTTAGCACCAAGTGCAAATAAAAACCAGATGAACCTCAAATCGCGTTGCTTCCATGCACCCATTCGGTATTAACCATTTATGTCCTCAATCCTCAATATCATCATCACTCAGCACCAATTTCTGAGCGAGGAGGCCCGACACATTTCCTTCCTTTATACCCGCACTTCTCTTCCGGGGACTCATTTCCTCTGATGGCTTATCTGTTGCCCAAGCCTCTCCCGGCTGCATGTCGTCATCTGCATCAGACTCTTCGTCGGCAGCATTAATACCCTTAAAGGCAACCACCTTCTCAAGTTCGCGCAAACGGAAGCTTGGTGTTTTTCGAGCACGAGCTATGTGCGCCATATATGGGAGACGCTCAAGGAGCATCTCGCGCCGGGCTGCGCTGCCAAGTGAGAGAAGAGGCGCACTGTCCGGATCGTCTTCTCGCTGTTGCTGCTGCTGCTGCTTGACCATGGCTTGACGACTTAGCTGCTTACGCTGCATCCAGGAAGTCTCACTAGAGGGTTGCTGAGGACGACGAAACGCTGTGGCTCCATCGGTGAGATTTTTCGTTGCTCCATCATCGCCTTTAAGTAGTTGTGTAGACCACATGTCCACAAACCCTTCCAACTCTTCCTTGGCACGCCAGAGTTTCAGACTCGTTGGGTAGAACATCTTGAAGGCGTCGCTACCCTTGGACATGGTTGATGATTTGCGCCTGACCGGGTTAGGAAGTGAGAATAACATGCCCCTGACAGCTACCTGGAAAGTTATTTCGTCCTGCCGTAGCACATGGCTACCAGAGTCTGTACCCGAAAAGCCCCCTCTGCCGCCGAAGAATATATCTCTTGAGGGCGAGAGGAGATCTGCGTGTGACAGATACTCGATGCAGTCATTAACGTAGTCCATTGGTGTTGACAAATCCATAGGATCTGTGCTCTCACAGGATAGAACATAGTTTTCATGTAATGCCGAAACAAATGTATGTGTATCTGTGCCGGTCTCATCGATGAGCGTATCGACAGACACTTGTGAGCGTTTCGGTCTCGAGAAATGCGAAAGGAAGCTTGGAAGATTCTCGACATCGTCACCTACTGGCGGCGGAAGCTCATCTCGTTTGTTGTAGACAACCTTTCCAACAGCGTGGAAAATGCCTAGACTCGCTTCACGTTGAGATACTTGTTCCAGACTCTCCTCTTCGCCTTGTGTGAGTTTGATAGCATCTTTCGCCCCCTTGGTCTGCTTTGTGAGCACGACTTTGTTGCCCCAATCTCCCTGCTGGTCGCCTTTCAGACACAGGAACTCGAGAGATGACACGGCGTTTCTGATGTCTCCAATCTCGCCGAGGCGTTTTAGAACTTGAGGGCCTGGTGTTTTCCTGCGGCCAGATTTTCTGGCCTCTTTCTGGACAACGAGCTCGAGTGCCTTTAGGAGTAACGATGGGGCGATGGCATTGAACTCAATCATACCAACCCCTGGATGTTGTAGGATTTCTGGCCCCAAAAGTCGATGGGCAGTAAAACTATCTGCTGAGGCAGAAGTCGTGGTCAGATGAGTTTCTGAAATGACCATGACCACCGGTGTTATGGGTTCATGCTGCGAAGGCTTCGCAAACATGGATAAAGAGGGTGTACTATTAGCAAGGTACTGTAAAACGGTGCTCCGAAAGGATGTTAAAGCCGTTGAAGATCTTGAAAATGTGTTAGGAAACTCTTCGATAAGGATAACTCGTTTCGGATCATTCTTTCGGATGTTCTGAGAGCTGTTCTGGGTCGATGGCACTGAAGCATCGGTCTCTAATGCTCCAAATTTACCACCACGACCAAGAAACTCTTGAAACTGCGCAGATGCTGAAACGAAACCCAGTCCAGAGCTTCCCGCAGGGTTTCGCCATTCAAGAAGCTCACTACCCATGTCGTTTGCCAGAAGTCGCAGGGTCGTTGTCTTTCCGGACCCTGCAGCACCTTTGAGAATAAGGAGACGCTGGCGCATGCGCCCAGCTATCACATCCTCCAACCACCTCCTCACATCAGAGACTTTTTTCTTGTGAACTGCTAACTCCTCCAGATTCCGAGGACCAAATCGTTCTGACCAAGGGCGTGCATCGTCGTTTGGCCTGGCTATAGGTACTGGCTTAGGTGGTTTGATGAACTTTTGGCTTGCGCTGGGTGCACTAGACAACGACGATTGCGAGTCTTTTCGTAGTCTCTTCTTCGCATGTTGTCCGACTAAGCTAGCAGAGTTCGCCTTATGCTCTGAGATCTCATCATCCTCTGAGATAGGATCGCTGATAATATCTTCGAGAGGGACGGATGGCCTATCTCCAGCACTCGACCGCGCAGCCCTTTGTGCCTGGTTTGAAAAGAGCGTCTTCAAATCAGCTGTCCTTCCAGTATCTGCTGCTTTGCCAACATCCTTGGTACGCTTCGCGCTTGGACTCGTGCTATTGCTCTTCGCTTGCGCTCGACGAGGTAACCGGAGTGGAGCATTCTTGGCTGGCTTGTTATCGACGATCTTGGGTTTTGTCGGGCTCGGCGAAGCTGTAGCGACGCGGCTTTTGGTAGAGGAGCTTGGTGAAGTAATCAGAAACTTGGTCAAGGTGTTTGCACGGGGCGGCTCGTCTTCATCGTCTGAAGCGTCAACGACGTTCCGCCGGCGGCGCTTCGCGGGCGGAGCCATCAGCGCAGAGGGTGCATTTGCAGTAACAGCATAACGTTATGAAGGGGCACGCGATCGAATTGGGGGGGGTGCTTGTTGGAGCTTTTCGCATGCCGTGGGGAGATGGTGATGATGCTGTTGACTATCTGATAGCTTTGACGGAGTGTTATCGTGAATTGAGACCCGCAGTAGTTACAGTGTATGTCCCACTGAAGCACGTTACAGTGTGCATTGGTTGACATTTAACCCCTGCTTAAACACCTAGACTCTCAAATCGAGGATTCGCTAAAATAGATAAGTCACAGGCCACAGCGTGTTCTTGATAGGATAGTTTCATAAGCTCGTTTCCGCATTGCACCACAGCGGTCATTTCGCAATGCTATCAATCTGAGGTTAACCATTTTACAAGAAAGTATACAACTGTCCCGTTTCCAAGGTGCGCTGTTGCCTCATTTTCTCATACTCTCATCCCACGTAATTCATATTCTTATACTATATCTCAGTATGTCCACCCCTTGAAGTTGTCGACAAAAGTCAGGGCTGTCAGAAGGTATCGATCGTGAACGTCGCCCCATGTCTTTGAAGCCTCCTTCAACACTCGGATTGCTTACACAGGGTTAGTGGGCGGAGATGTAGCAACTGGAGAAACCGCCTTACCTTTGACGTAATGAGCATCTGTGGCCCAGTTAGAGTTCACTGCCTTGTCCTCAACGTACTTCCAGCCTCGTTGTTTGGTGTCGTTGTCCACGTTATCCGGGTCTGGGAGTGGCCGGCGTTTCACGATAAAGATGCCCAAGGCCAGAAGCCACCATTGCCGGACAAGAGGAATATGATACTTTTCGGGGATGAAAGGAAGAAGAACTCGGACAGCATGACTTGTTGTTAGTATATGCACGAGCATGAAGTTGAATGCATGGGTGCCTGGCTTGACTGTGGCTACTAGCAAAGCCGCTGCAGCTTCTTGGGACAGTTCGAACTGCTTCACAGGATCTGTGATTTCCCATGCGTTCCAGTACTCCAGGATGATGTCCTCATGCCCGCTGAAGAGCTCTTCCAGGTCGTACAGGCCAGGTCTGACGTCATCAAATCTATCGTCCTTCGATAGCTTGGTGAGAAGATCCATCGGGGATGCAGAGGTAAAGGGCGCCTTTCTGGAGTACGACTTGTTGTCGAGGTACTTATGGAGAAAGTCATGCTGAACACAAGCAAGTCCAAGGGCTTCCATGGCAAGTTCCTTACAATCCATCTCGAAGGCATAGCCTAGATGGATGAGCGGGTGTCCGACTAAGAAAGTTAGCGACGACAAGTTTTCTTCATGTGGGATTGTAAACATACGACCGCCGATCAGACCATTGATGAGAGGCTCATCGCCAGTGAACAGATAATGCTCCATTTCTTGGTGCCAGTCATAATTGAATCGCATAACGAGCTTGTCTTCAAAGAAGTCCACAAAAGCCCGCTGGTACCTCGCATCGCCCCGAAGCTCTTGCCAGTCATCCTCTCCAATCTCAGCGGGCGACGGTACCCATGCCTCCAGCTCGCGGATTTCTCTGTCGTAGATGTCATTTAGTTGAGGAACACTTGCTCCTAATAGGTATGCTGAGCTGAGGATATGAGCATTGTGATTATCGTATTGAAGGTTGTTGTAGACGATTGAGTAGTTGGCATGATTTGCTTTCAAGAGATGCTTTAGACATCTTGCCCGTTTGTCCGGGTCTGTCTCAATGTGATGAATCTCAACCGAGGGGATATTGATGGCTTGGCGATTACCATCAAGTCCCAGTAGTTTATTAACTACAGGAACTTGAGCAAGAATCCCGGACATGGTAGGACCGTAAGATGAGGAGATGTTTGGCTGATTTCAGGTTGTTATGATGAGAGATTGTCAAAGGCTCATGACGTTACGTTGAATCGAACAATGAAATCAATCTTCCGTTGGGGCTTCCAGCGGGCACTAATAAATCATAGCGGGGCAAACCTTTTCTTTGGGGGCAGGGGTGACACTGTAATAGAGAGGTTCCCCAATGACGCGTGCACGGGCCACACAATTATCAATCTTCAAGTCGCGCGTCTCCAGAATCTTTTAACCCAACGCAAGCCACTAATTTCTTGAGGATGACTTCTCAAACTTTCACTATATATGCAGAACTTCTGTCGAACATCAGACAAATTTCTGTTACTGTATCGCTATCGACATCAGTCGATTCTTTCACAAAAGCAGAAATCTCACCGGATGGCCGGCAACTCAGCGTAACACACCACGGCCACACAGAGCACGTCACTTTACCGGCACAAACATCTGCTATAGGCTCATTACCTGTAGCCCAGATTGGTCGCTCAAATCTATCATGGAGGCTTCCAGTCTCACCAACAGAAGCAAGGCCCTCTCGTTTCTCTTTAGAAAGCCAAGCGGTACCATGGACCTCAGTCGATATCACAACTGGGTCATCAGTAGCCTGCCGCAGCTGTGGAAGCGAGTTCGTCGCGCCAAATATCATCAATACATGGAAAGACTTGCCGAGTGAGAACTGGGCTGAAATGATGGAATTTTGGCATTGCCATAAACCTCATGATCATGACCACCAGGATCCTGAGTCTCTGGCTACCAAAGGCTACGGTGCCAATCATGCTATATCCGCCCAACAGGGAGTTGGCTTTGTCGACTTGACATCGTTCCTGTTCTCGGAGTCCGACTGCCGAGGCCTGCAAGTAAGTATCAATCCTGCAGCACTGATTCGTCCTTGACTATGCTCGGCCAAACCTCATGCAATCAATCCACGGGGAGAAAGAAGATGTCCATGTCGGTATACCAAACCTTTCAGTGATCTGGCCATCGATACAACTCCCCAATATGAATGCACTTGTCGTCCCCACCCCGATGGGCAGTCAGCTTTCTGGAAACCTTCTTCACAGAACGGGATCCTAAGGTAATCTGAAGACGCGGCCTCTCTTTTTCATCTAACCTCCCATAGATATGGGTGTTTAGAGATTACCGAGAGGTATATTGCTTAAGAAGTTGCATGAAATCTTTGTTCTTTGGCAGTTTACTTACACACTCTAGTATTCTTCCTCAACACCGGATGCTGGGTTCGATCTATCTTCGCTGGCCCTTAATGACGAAGAGAGCAAGAAGTTTTTACACATATTTTGCAGGGAATGTACGACAGAAGTAGGCTTGTACAATGTTGCGGCATTGTCTGTCACATTGTTCAAATGGAAAATTACTTGCCAAACCAAGACCGCAGACCCTAGCCCAAGCAGTTCCGAGTGTCTTGCAGCAACTCTGCTGGCTACGATTTCGAGGTCGGGGTCATCCAAGTCTATTATCACGCCGCATACTTCTGGGATTGCAAACCCCGAAGCAGTTTCTCATAAGAACCTTCATCTCTGGGTATTGAACCCCAATGTCGTATATACAGCGTCCTCTACCGCTGATCGCAAGACGGCGATGAAGATACTCTACAAGCATATCGATCTATTAGAGGCTGAGAAGCTTCTCACGTCCATGACCTCAGATGTTCAGGAGATAAGTTTGCCCGAGGAAGCTATCAAAGCAGCAGATAATCGCTTGTTATGGAGCAGTGAATTACTACCCGTTCAAGAAAGGACTTTCAAGGAGTGGCAAGTGGGACTGCTTCAGAGATGGGAACCTGCGTCTTGATGATGGATCAATAGACATCAACTTTGAATGCTAAATCTTATGGTTTTGAGAATAAAGTTCTTAAAACCCCATCCGTTATCTAGGTTTTCGGTAGATTGGCAGATATCATCGAGCCCTGTCACGAGGTGTTGGTGATTACTCCTCTACAGTGTGTGAAAACTGTAAGAACCACAATGAATGGCAGAGAACAATGTGCGGCAAAGCTGCCCATACTGTGAGATTTGTTCACCCTGTAGGCAGCCACCTGTATTCTCTTCCTACAACCAAACATCCCCCTCGCAAGAGCCAAAACCAAGTGAGATCTCATATCAGAATTTCGACACCCTAATGAGTACACGGGCTTGCCGCTGCTGACTTCACTTTGTGATGAGAATTAATGCTCGCCCTTCCTGAATTAGCGCCTCCTCACTCCTTGTGGCAGCCTTGCTCAGATCGCGATGCAACCAAAAAGAACGGATTTCATCCCCGCTGGGTGTATACCGATCAAGAGAACGGAAATCAAACTAGATCCAGAATGTTTATTGGATGAACTTCTAGAATGGAGAACCTTCTACTCGTTATCGAAAGGAATAGGCGAAACAGGCGCAGAGGATGGAGAACCTTTCCTCCCAGATAACCTGGAAATTGCTTTGACTCGTATAGGAACACTCCGATCTTGTGTCAAACTTTCCCGGGCATCCTGGGCAAAACTTGAATTCAGCATTCAGAACAACTATTCCGATTATGGCTTTCTGAGGGTTTATCTGCTGCCCGATGATGTCCTCCGTAGCACGGTGGACCGCTCCAACCAGTCTCTACTGAAGGCAAGAAATGATGTCCTTGGGCAATTAAACTACTCACAAGAAGCCTGGGATGGAAATCTAAACGCAATATGGTTGGATAAGCCACTCCTCCACGAAGTTGTTGTCCAGAACGAGCATCTAAACGATGGCATGTCTCTGTTGCAGCTTTTCAACAAAATTCCATCGCCTACGCCCAGAATCAGCAGCATCGAGGAGACTTATTCAAAGTCTGCTATGTGTGATATCTTGGACGGCCAAGTCCTAGGGCTGAAGTCGGAGCTGTATCCATATCAGCGGAGGTCGGCGGCCATGATGCTGCAAAAAGAGGTCCAGCCCGAGCAAGTGCTTGACCCGCGTCTACTCCATGTCAAAGACCAAGAAGGAGGATCATGGTACCTTGATACTGTGGCTGGTACAGTGCTCAGGGAGCCAAGACACTACGATGGAGTCCCTGGCGGCATCCTCGCTGAAGAGATGGGCGCTGGAAAGACTATCATCTGTCTCGCGCTCATTCTTGCAACAAAAGGACTGCCCACTCAGCCACCTGAGTATGTTTGTGCCGAGAAAGTCCCAGTCAGGAAGCGTCTAGCTCCTTTAGCTGAAATGGCTGCGTCCTGTGCCACAAGGAATGCAGTCCCCTGGCGTCCTTATTTCGACATTTACAAGACCAGGTTAGGGGAAGATTACGAGAGGTGCATTGAAGCGCTAGAAAGAAACCCAGGGTACTACTCTATCCAGTCATCTGACAAGCGACGGGTCACTAGATTCTGTACCGGAAATCCGTCAAAAAAGACGCGGCTCTACCTTAGTAATGGGAGTATTGTGGTTGTGCCCCCCAACTTATTGATGCAGTGGAAGCAGGAGATCAGCAAGCATACCGATGGCCTGGAGGTTCTAGTTGTGACGCGAGATCAGCCACTACCGAAAGTAGAAGACTTGCTGAAATTCGACCTCATCCTCTTCACTCAGACAAGGTTGGAGAATCTACTTCGACAAGAGGGTGGACTTGAACAATCTCCACTGTCCAAGGTCCATTTCAAGCGATGCATTGTCGATGAAGGACACAAGCTTGGGCATTCGAAGATGAGTAGTAAGAGCAATCTGCTTATAGTTCTGGATGCTTTGAATTTCTCTGCGCGATGGATTGTGACAGGAACTCCATCTCAAGGCCTATATGGAGTCGACATGCAAACAAAAACACCGCAATCTGTAGCACAACAAGAACAGGGTGGTTCAGTGGCGACTTGCAACACACCCCGAAAATCTGTTTTAGAAATGGAGAGAAGGGATCTGGAGAGGATTGGTATTATGGCATCGCTCTATCTGAGAGCACGACCATGGGCGAACACGATCCTGGACATCGGTGACACTATGGCAGACTGGACTACTTACTTGCTACTTCCGAAACACAAAAAGAACAGTGGAGGCCGCTGGGACTGCTTGAGAGCAACTCTCAACTCTCTCATCATCAGGCACCAGATCGCAGAGGTCAATAATCTATTCCCGCCTGTCAACGAGAAGGTCGTTGTATTGGAGGGCTCATACCAGGACCAGATGTCACTCAACATCTTCTCCATGATGATCATCTTCAACTCGGTCCAATCCCAACGAACCGATATGGATTACTTTTTTCACAACAAACAGCGAAAGGCTCTTCTTCAGATTGTGCACAACTTGAAGCAGGCGAGCTTCTTTGGAGGATCGTTCTATTCTGAGCAAGATATTAAAAAAGCTGTCGAAACCGCAGAAGAGTTCCTTGCCAAGAAAAAAGTACCCACCAGTGACCAAGATCGAGAACTCCTTGAGCAAGCGATCAAGTTTGGGCATGTTGTTTCCAACAACAAGCTCAAGGCTCTTAGTAATGCGTTTCACGAGATGCCGCTCAGCGTCCACGGTTTGCCGCACAGTGTCAGCGCATCTTGGTCACTCGACCAAGAATATGGGGACTACATATGCAGCTCGTCATCCATGTTGGTGACACTTCAGAAACTCATCTATAAATCAGCATCAAACCCCGAGGAGCTGAATTCTCTATTGAATGGCCGATTGATTCAAGAAGGTGTCGATTCGAGAATGCGCATGCTCGCATCAGACGAGACAACAAACAGCTCCCAAACCTTGGCCGGTAATACGAAACTGGGAGATGACAAACACCGAATCACCAATGCTCATGGCATTAGTGATGTCAAAGTGGAAATCGAAGCAACTGCCGATGGTGCACTTGGGCCATTGGAAAGAGTCAAGATCACATCCACGGTATCAGCCAAACTGTCATACCTGATTGATAGCGTTCTCAGGTATCAGGAAGACGAGAAGATACTTATCTTCTACGAAAACGACAATATCGCATGGTATTTAGCCGGTGTGCTGGAAGTTGTAAGGAAGGATATGCCTGTTATCAAACCCAATGCTAACTTCGAACAGCTTCAAGTACAACATCTAATCTATGCCAAAGGACTGAGCGTACAGAGAAGATCACAATACGTCAACACTTTCAATCACAATGATGATTTCAGGTGAGAGTTTCTGAGCCGCTCTTGATGCCATGGGCTAACAAGGACGAAGAGTTCTCCTCATGGATATCTCACAGGCAGCTTTCGGCCTAGATATGAGAGTCGCATCACGGATCTACTTTATCAACCCAGTCCTAAACCCTCAAGTTGAAGCGCAGGCAATTGGCCGTGCGCGAAGGATCAGCCAGCAAAAACCAGTCTTTGTTGAGACTCTGGTACTGAAAAACAGTATAGACGAGGTTATTTTAGAACGCAAAGAACACATGACACAGGCTGAACACCGCCGAGTTCAATCCATTCTGGATGATCGCCCAATTTACGAATGGGTCAAGAATGCCCGGATCACGCGTTTGCCGGGAGGCGATTTCAGTAAAGAGGATCAGATGTCACCTCTGGATACACCGCAATACGTATTCAGACGAGGATTTGGGAGGACCATACACCCTGATGAAGGCTTGGTACTGGACGAGACTCCAAGGTCTGATGGAAGAGTGCTGAGGCCTCGCGAGATGGCGAATGAGAAGAAACGAACCACACAGTTTGGTGCAACCACAATCATTCGAGATCAGGGCCTACACAAAGACTCGTCATCCAACACAAGCGATCTCGCCGCGCGGCCATCGAAGAGAGTGCGATTCGGGTGAAGGGTGTGAAGAACCATTCCACCTACTGGATGTGCAGTGCTGCGCCACGCACGGCCACATCCCCGTACTGAAGTGTGGCGAGTGGGAAGCTAAGTTTCAGAACCAAGTCAGAAGTTGGTAAACATTGTAGGTGCTAGCTGATGATGAAAGATGTTGATGCACGTGGAAGAGTTTGGAGTTTGGCGTCATGGAAGAAGAGTTCGGTTGCTAGTTAAGAGGAGCTAAGGGACGAAGCTAAGGTGTATGGAGTATCGTACAGAGCTACTGATCAAATGTACCTGCAAGTTTGAGACCAACCACCTGGAAAATCAGCAACAAAAATGACCTTAGCTCGGTGTTCCTGGTTACCAAGGGCCTTAAACTTGGACAAACGATGGGTCTGTTTATCAGCTTCTGTAAGCGATGCAGAGTGAAAGGATGATGGGAAAATGACATCTTTGATGCTTGAAAAAGAATGACCCATATGTTGGCACTGGTTACTTCATGGCAAGGTATCCCTGTATAGGTACTGTAAGGTAAGGAAGGTATTGAGGCTCAGCAATTGAGAAGTAGCGGTATAGAATGGTAAGTCAAGGGTTCGACAACTCATTGCTCAGACTACAGAGGGAGCACAAACCGCTAGATGAATAATGAGAATGATGCCATGACTGTTCAGTTATGTCCCAATCTTTCAACCATAACGAGAGCCACCAACAGCCTGCGGATATGTCGGTTCTCATGACGAGTCCCCATCCCCAGCCAATGCCAACACACGCAAGATGCACGCATGTACTGTACCTATGGGTACACAGTACGGTGAACCGTCAGGAGGATTCGCATCACCGTAGGTCTAACCGAAGCTCTCAAGACTTGGCGATAATTGTGAAATGCATATTTGTGGAGGGGGATGGCTAGTAGTTAGCTAGTCGATATTATAGCGCGGGTACCCGTACAAATCTCCGAGATTTTATGCTATTGAAATGTCTGTGTGTTTTCTTTCCTTTCTAGAATGGAAAGAGTTGTACTAATTGTATAAATAGATTTCTCTATTTGCATAAATAAATCTTAAAAAGGCCTAGCCT